AAATCAAGGCTTTTCAAGGCTTGAGTTGACGAGCTTCGGATTGGAAGGCCCAACAGTACTTTAGCAGCATTATTTTGAAGTACCTGCAGTTCTGACATTGCTAAAATCTGTTATTTATGATCTGATTATTGCATGACTACGTAAAAAGGTCATTGCAGGATGCCACGCCATGGCAAGCACCAGTGAGCATAACAGCAGCATCAACAACAACATCATCAACAACAAGAACAACATCTTTTATTTAAACACAATGGGTTTAAAGGCTGGTCAGTGGGGTATCAACAGCAGGGCCTGCGAGTTTCAACATCTTTTTTTGAACATGGTGGGGAGCTTAGAGAATAAATCCACTTGTTTAAAATTACTATAGACTGAGCTTGAAGATCTGGAAAAAGAAATAAAGACCAAGAGTGATTTGTTGAAACTCTGCTTTCTGGCCAAGTGAATGTGAAATAAGAAAGTCTGGAAAGTTGGGTAATGATGATATGAGCTGTACTTGAAGGCTGTTTGCAGAAAGGAGTATCACTTTCTTGAGTTTTAAATGTAGTCTGTTGATCATAGTTTTTTAGTCTGTGGAATTTTTTGTCTGAGAGCAGGTAAATCACATTTTGGAGTGATCATTTCAAGTCTGGTGCTCTCAAATTCTTTCCATTGCTCAACTTGATTAATGTTGATTAGAATTAACTCAAAACTATACAATTCACCTAATAAACTTCAAACACTGAACAAAGTAAAAGCGAGCAATTTCATGGAGTCATCTTGCCGTGATCACCTTGTTTCCCTAAAATGTTTTAACCAAGATCACACTGTGTGCCTTGCTGTTCAACTGAGATTTACCTTGTATGCACACATTTATATACACGTTGCATAAATGAACAATGGAAGTGGTTTCACACAATCATAAGAGTGCTTGACACAGATACATGCAGAGTGAAATACAAATTAAGATAGAAACTACAGTTACTCCAGTTTCACGCTTAAAGCGTTCATCAGACCGATGATTGATTTAAGTGTGAAACTCGATGAACTGTAGTTTCTATCTTAATTTGTATTTATATATAAACATTATTTTACTCCTTATTCACATTGAGCTTAATTTCTTGGCCAAAATCCTGTGAGGGACAAATATGTAAAGAAAATTTTTCTAAAATGGAAATACTTGTACACTGCCAACACATGTTGTGTGTATGTTAAAAAGATTATGTCTGCATCAGGCCAGAGGCCCTTACAACCCGAGCTTATCTCAGTAGTAAGTACATATGTACTCCCCCCTGGAATAGATTCTAATCCATTGCTGGGTCAGCCCCGAGCATTAAATTTGCCAGCACACACAGGTACACTTAGGCAGGAGAGGTGCTGTGAGGGTACTAAGTGTCTTGGCTAAGAACACAATGCAATGACTCTGGCTTGAACCAGGGTGCTCTTGATCCAGAGTCTAGCGCACTAACCATTAGACCCCTATACCTCCTAGTGTAAATGGTGTTGGCAAGATAGCTCCATCTTGCCCGCTCGGGTAGCCAATCACAGCACAGGATTTGATTCATCTTGCCCTCTCGCGGAGCTAGCTATATAATAAGGGATTCTATTGCTAAACTGAGTGCTTCTTTTCAATTTTTTAGAACTCTTAGGAGACATCTTAGTTGAGAAACCTGTGGAAATCCAAGGCACAGATTGCATCATTGTTGTCGACAATGTTCCTGCTATCCCACCAGACAGGCTTGAGAAGCTAAAGAATGTGATCAGAAAGGTGTTTTCTAAGTTTGGAAGGATCGTTACAGAGCATTATCCACTAGATGATAATGGCCTGACTAAAGGGTAAGTTAGGAATTAAACTGCAGAATTTTAACCTTCAAACATTGATAAGTTGCTAAATAGAAACTTTTGTATCTGATCTCCATACTTTTTAAAGATAGTATCTAAGGAAAAACGTAATTGTTTAAATATTTAAGGGGCGCTTTCCATTTATAAAAAAAATTCCAGTTTGAATTTCCAGAAATTTCTGGCAATGAAAAAAAAAAAAATTCTAGTGACGAATGGAACAGTATTATCCAGAATTTCTGGAAAAGAGGATAACCTTGAATGTAAACCAAAATTTTTGGAAATTCCTTACCTGGAATGTTTTTTCCATCCGACTTTCCTCCCAGAATTTCCAGAACTTTCAGTGAAATGGTTTGCTTTTTGGAACTTTTCCAAGAACTTTTGGGAACTTTTCTAAGAAATTTCCTCACTATTTGTCTCTGTTTAAAAAATTTTGGAGGTTTCTGTTGAATGGAAAATGCCCAAGAAGTGTACTTTGCACTATTTAGACTGCTACATTATTTTGAATGTGGCAAGAATGTGTTACAGTTTTTCCTTGTGAGCTAAACAGTGATGCACAACACATACCACATGTAGTCAAATTATATCCAGGGATATTTTATTGTCACTGACAACACCAATAAATTGCATCACTTACATCTAACACAAATAAACTACGAGTGTTTAAGGGACTGTAACTCTGGATGTATCTCTATGGGACTTCACTGGCTAAATTTGCTTCTAGGATTACAAAGCATGTCAATGCTGCTGTGGTCAATATTTCCCCAGTACTTTTCCAGTACTTTGTGTGGAGGCACTGTGGCCTCATGGTTAATGTTCTCACCTCCAGATTGAGTTGTCCAGGTTCAAGCCTTGGCCAGGGACATTGTGTCGTGTTCTTGAGCGAGACACTTTACTCTCACAGTGCGTCTCTCCACCCAGGTGTACAAATACATGTAGGTGTTGGCAAATTTAATGCTTGGGCTAACCCTGCGATGGACTAGCATCCCATCTAAGGGGTTGCTAGTCGCTTCATGGTACTGAAACTGGAGATAAGCACCAGCCTGATTGGCCACTTGGCCTGTATGCAGACTTTACCTACTTTAACATTGGATAGTGATATTTCTCTTGTATGTTTTGTTAGGTTTATTTTCTTGGAATTCTCTAATGCTAAAGATGCTGCACAGGCGGTCAAGACAGCAAATGGTTACAAGTTAGACAAGCATCACATCTTTGCTGTCAATCATTTTGAGGATTTTGACAAGTAAGTCTCATTGTAGTTGTTATTGGTTATTTTGTTTATTATTTCTTGGCTTCTGAATAGTAAGCCAAACAGGAATTAGAATTTTCTTCAGCAGTCTGCAAAGATTTCCAGGAAAAAATTTAAGCAGTTTCAAATTTGATGGATGGGGAATGCATGATAATCTTAAGAGTTGATCAGAACACACAGCAAGGTCTCTGTACAACTAAAGATAGCATTTGACTCTTGTTTATCAACTTTTGTTCAGCTGTGGGTGTGTATTGCAGAAACAAATGGGGATGTTTCAATGTATTTTGTACTTGTACCTTATGAACAATTTGTTTTTAACCANGCTAATTCTAGGGCATTATTCTCCCATAATGCCCACGGGCTGATTATGGGCTTGCAAAAACAAAGTTAAAAGCCATATAATAAACAACTTATTAACCTCAATCGTTCCGTCTTTATGGGAAAGTCTTGAATCTTGGTCTTGCCGTATTTACCCTGCTATTGCTCAAGCAATACTGTATGAAAATTTCTCGTTTTGAAATATTCCTGTAACGACCTCACTCTCATTTAATAAGTAGTTGATAGTGACAAAACCTGGGGATCTTGTAACTTGTCACAGAGCAATGTCACTTTAAACACTTAATTACTGGTCTTGAGGGAAACAGCTCACTTTGTTTTGTGAGGGACCAGTCATTAAGTGATTTGTCATATGTCACAACAGAGACACAAAAAATTCATGTGTAAGAGCAGTTGGCAGTCAACATTCTCAGGTAACAGCACATTGTTACCCTCTCACGTTATAGACTTTGCAATATTGTCCACTTAGAGACTTTTGGCAGGGAACAGTTATATTGTTAAAGGTCATGTGACCTTAAAGTAGCCAATTAGAGTGTGCTGCTGGGTAAAACAATTGCTGCGATATGACAGTGCAAGTTGTTATGAAGACATGAATGATCATCGCAGTTATAGACACAACTTATGCAGTTGTAAAATTAAAACCTGCAAAAAAATTCAGGCTTGAACGGGATTCAAACCCATGATCTCTGCGATACCAAGATACCACAAATTGAAAAGCACTTTGTGCTTATGAACACCTATCTTGGAGGTTCTAGTGTTGACAAGTTGACATACATGTATTGTAATTTGTTGTAGGAAATAATTATTTATTTGATTTGTCTAATAGGCCATTGTTATTTGGGATATAAGGACAGGAACTAAAAAGAGAGGATTTATGTGTGGAGACCAATCTCAATGGCCAGTGTTTAAGTAAGTTATGTTGTAGTCATAGTAATGTCAGTTAGAGCGGTTTTCAATTGAGTATCATAAAATCAAAACCAAAACCAAACCAATTAGACCACTAAGTCGATCACAAACCATAGTAAAACCAAAACCAAAGTAACTGCCTGACTACTTTTGACACTCGACTGAAAACCACTCTGTAGTACATGAACTTACCACAGGTGTTGGTGATAATTGAATCATGACAGATAAAAAGAGATTATAGAGATAAAATTATAGCAGGACCTATCTTCTTTATGCCAAATGTCTGTCACCAACCAGCTCTGATGGGGATCATCACTTAGTGAGTGGTAAATTGTGTCTTAGTTGATAGATTAAGACAAACAAACCAACTGTGAACAGGTCTTTCCTAAGTGCATAATCTTGAGTTCTTGCCTGTGCTACAAAATTTGTGTAATTAATTAAGACTTTGTTTAGCTACAAACGTTTATGAACTAATGTACTGAGCAAGTGATGAAGTTCTCCTGAAGCCAGTTCTGCTACTGAAATGAAGTGCTGAGAACTGGGAGAGAATCAAACTGATGCTTCTTACTCAAAACTCAAAACAACAATTCTCGTTTTTGGTCTTGGGCATTTCTATTGAGAACCAACTGTGAGCAGGCCTTTCTTAAGTTCTTGCCTGTGCTACAAAATTTATATAATTAATTAACACTTCTTAACCTGCATCCACCTATGAATTAATCGAGATGGACAGTGGTACTTCACCTTTAAGTTTATGATTATTCTGGTTGTAACATTTTTATTTGGATCCACAGATGGAGTGCTCAGGGAAAATTTTTTGCTCGCTTAGGAGAGGACAGCATTAGTATATATGAAACACCGGTTAGTTGTCAGCTTTTGATTAATCCTCAGCCCTAAGGTGTATGGTCAATGTAGAAATTCTGGTTTTTGGTCAGACTCCTAACAAATCTCTTAGTGGGAGGCTTGGTGGCTTGGTGGTTACTGTGCTTGACTCTGGTTCAGATTTGAGCCCTGTTCGGGACATTGTGTTGTGTTCTCGGGCAAGACACTTTACTCTCACAGCACTTCTCTCTACCCAGGTATATAAATGGGTACCTGTGAATTTTTTGCTGCAATGGACTAGCACCCATCCAAGGGAGAGTAGAAATACTTCTAGTCACTTGATGCTACAGAAACTGGGATAAGCTCCAGCCTGATGGCCTCCAGCCTGATGGCCTCCAGCCTGATGGCCTCCAGCCTCCCGGCCTCCAGCCTCCTGGCTCATATGCAGACTTTACCTTACCTTCAAATCTCTTATAGCATACCGGTAGTTAGCAGAATTGTTGTAACAATAATTTCTCAATAATGATCATTTGCTAAATTCTTGTGATCTTGGGGAGGAGAAATCTGCTGTTGATTTTTCTGGACACTGGAGCCTAGACTGCTAAATTAATAGACCTCTTTAGCTGGTTGGTTTGTTTTGCCATTGCAGACCATGTGATGATACTCTCGAGAATTCTTGCTTTCAAATTTTTAAATAGTCCCGTGTATATGAGTGAATAATTTTAAGATGGATAAAAGAAAAATTCTCTAGAGAATATCACGTGGTCTACAATGGGAAAACAAACAGCCCAAGCTAAAGAGGTCTATTATGATGACAACGTTAAATTTTTGAAAATGTTGAGTGCCATTTCATCCTTTCCTATTTAATAAACTTCCTAACTTTAGGGGGAATGTGGATTTTAAAGGCAATTTCATATGTCATTCAGCATCATCTAGTGCTCTTAGTCCCATGGAAGCATACGGCGTCCATCGTTGCCCTCCACCTCTGTCGGTCTTGGGCCACTCTTTTGGCCTTGCTCCAACTCAAGCATAGCTTATGCTAAAAAGTAATCTTATTTAGACTGTTGCTATTTGATGGTGACTGAATTTGACTAATTTTTGTTGTGCTCTTCTTTTCCCCAGTCTTTTGGTCTCTTAGATAAGAAAAGCTTAAAGATCCAAGGTGTTAGGTAAGGTGTCTTTTATGTTACTTTCTACTTGCTTGTGTAGCAAAAATAAGTAGTTGTTAACTCACATTTTTTTTAACTGCCACTGAGGATTTCAAGAGCTGATGTTTTGTGGATTAGCTGTATGTCAGAGTGACAGAAGCATTGGGGTAATGCTCAGGGTGCTGGACTCAACAACCACAAACTTTATTTCCCCTTGTTCTCACAGAAATATTTTACAAAGTTATGTAATACTAGAGTTAGGGGCCTGGCTACCTGAAATAACTAAGAGAGTTAAAAAGGGCAGGTAGCCAGGTGTCCAGATGTATTTATACAAGTTTAGGTTGGCACACCCGCATACAGCACAACACACATAGTGAGCACTAAATAATTACTATTAATACTAGAACATTTTGGTAATGCTATAGAATAGGAGGAATGTAGAGCAATTAATAGAAGCTTAGAGAAAGAAATAGAGCAAAACCACCTCATGTACAGATCTATAAAGCAAGTGCTCCTAGTATCTTTGGAAATATTGATCTTTTATCCTTTTCTTGAAGATAGATAACGGTAATAACTTTATATGATTGTAACTCTAAAGGTTAGTATTTCCAAGGTCTTAAATTTGTCTAATGTTCACAAGAAAGCTGCATTACTTGTGCAGCCCCTCTCTCTTCAAATTGTCTCTACATAGTACCATAGATTCAGAGTTCCACATGGTGTTGTCTGGAGTACTTACTGGTATGTTTGCTTTGTGCTTACTTTGCAATCAACAGAGAGTTTGCCTGGTCTCCGACAGATGATGTGATAGCATTTTGGGTTCCAGAAGATAAAGATTCTCCAGCTCGTGTTACACTTATGGAGATTCCTAGCAGAAAAGAAATCCGTGTTAAAAACCTGTTCAATGTGTCTGAGGTAATTCGATGTCATTTGATTACTGATCTGCTATATAGTAGTGTCACTGTGCGCAACTTACGAAATTAGATCAGGCTGTCTTGTTAATCGAAGGCTTCAAATTTTTTGGGTAACTCTCGCTTACCTCACCTATCAGATTTATATGCAAGTCAGCATTTCTTTGGCTAGTCATTTTTAAAACTTTTTTTTGTACTGGTTTTTATTTCAGTGTAAGATTTATTGGCAGCAAAAAGGAGATTATCTTGGTGTGAAAGTGGATAGGTATACCAAGAGTAAAAAGGTTGGTGAATGAAATAATTTAATTGTACATAAAGAACAAAATTGATGATCATTAACTGTAGTTTCCTAGCGTGTGCCGACAGTACGCAAAGAATCATTTTATCTTTCTTTGAGATGGACACCTTTTAAGTTTTAACTTTAGCAGTATGACATAGTTGAAACGACTCTGTACAAGAATTATATGAAATGAAATTGGCAGTTTGAAATTCTCCTTGAGCCAGTTCTGCTACTGAAATAAAGTGCTGAGAACTGGGAGAGAAAGAAACTGATAGCTAGCTGCCACGTGTATTCCTGTGCCTTGTTCAAAAGACATTGAAAGCCTGTCGAACTTTGGATGATGCTTACACTTACCTCCAGTTCCCATGAAATTATCCATAATATAATTTGTCGCAATGTACCTTTGTAGGGCCTGTATTACAACCTGGAACTTTTCCGTGTACGTGAGAGGCAAATCCCAGTTGATGTTGTGGAAATGAAAGGTTAGTGTACATCACTCAAACTGCGGCTAACAGCCACTTTTATATCTTGGTCACCTCTGTGCAATGGTCAGGTGTTTTTGCAAATATGCACAATCCATACACATAACTCTACTTGAAACCCTCTCTACACTGGCCAGTAAATTCTGCCCAAGAATGACTGCTGAACAGGAGGTCCACTTGTAACCTTAAATTAATCTGACATTATCCTAAAAAAAAATACCAGTGTCAGTGACTGATACTTTGGTAGCAATTTGTTATTGTTAATGCTATGTACTTTTGTTCACACACAGAGGCTGTTAGTGCATTTTCGTGGGAGCCAGGCGGTAGTAAATTTGCTATAATCCATGGAGAGAGTCCAAGAATATCCGCCAGCTTCTACAACATGGAAAAACAAGGAAGTGTCTCGCTTCTAAGTAAGTAGCATTCGTATAATACTCTTACTGAAATGTACTACAAATTCAGCTGCCTTTCACTTTACACCTTGCTATGAAAGTTCCATGTGACAGGAAATGAGAGGTGACTGTATTAACAGGCTATGATTTGATGCTGAAGGACTTGAGACATTTTCGCAGTTTTGTACAATTTTGAAACTACAGTCTTCCAAAAATATAATTTATTCTTAAGAATGTCTGTTTTGCTGTGACTTACAGTTTTTAGTAGATGAAAGGCTGATATCAATGCTGGAGATGTTTTGGCACACTTGCCATATAAATGCAATGGTATGCTTACTAAAAAATGGTCTATCGGGGATAAATTTTGTTGTGTTAATTACTTTTTGTCATCTGTGCCAAACCGAAATTTCACCCATAATCAGACTACCTGTTCAGCAGGTCTGAGCATGGGAAAAATGTTTACATGGGACCCATGCTAAAAATTTTTCGTTTTGTATAATGGAAGTAGAAGTGTTTCAAATGTTAGATTGATCTCGTCCGGTGTGTATAAAAGGAGAATTTTGCGTTTGATTGTAAGTTGTGAAGCCAGTGCCGTTGTTGCTTGATGATATGGTTCTATGCAAAGGGTTGATTTATTTTCTAGTATATTAAAGCAAGTGATGAAGTTCTCCTGAAGCCAGTTCTGCTGCTGAATTAAAGTGCTGAGAACTGGGAGAGAATCAAACTGATGCTTTTTGTTCAACACTCAAAATATTAATTCTTGTTATTGATTTCAGACATTTCTTTTAATGCTCGTTTTGAGAAAAGAGTGGTGCATCAAAATGATATCTGGGTCTGAGTTTTTTATGCTTTTCTAGATATTCTCAGTACCGTCATATCCACCTGATAATGTAGCAATATTCCTAGGAGAAATCAGTAGTTGATGATCACTCTACATGCATGTGTTATTTATATTGAATACTTCATTATTTGTTACTCTTGTCCGCAGAAACATTTGATAAGAAGCAAGTGAACAGTATATTTTGGTCACCTAGTGGACAATTTTGCATCCTTGCCGGCCTTAGAAAGTAAGTCTGACATTCATGCATCCCTTGTAAGTTTTTACAAACTCGGAAACTGTTTTGTTAATGCTCTCGGTGTCAAAATAACTTTTCTCCTTACTAATTGGAGTACATTGGATGTATTGGATATTTCCAAGTTTCCTTTTGCCTCTGTTTCAAAACGAGCCTTCGTGCAAAACCTTTCTTATGAAAATGAGTTTGATTTGCAAGAAAATGAACTCCTAGGTGGAACTCGTTTTCATATGAATTGTTTTGCTCTTAGACTCGTTTCGACACAGAGGCAAAAGGCAACTCGGAAGTAGCCTATTGCAATTAACAAGGAGAAAAAATATTTTAAAATTTTGTATGAAAATGTTTTTTTATTATTATTATTTTGTTTTGTGTGAGTATCTAGCAGGGCTGTCCCTAAGTTTTGATTTACCTGTTGCCTTGATCTTCACACCCATAACAAACGTGTTACCTTATTGATGAATTGTATCAACAACAGGGAAGTTCACCCGTAACAAGGGCCCATCAAGCATGCTTAGCCATAACGGCTGCCACGGGTTATGGCCCTTTTTTACAGCCCTGTCCAGTAAAATTATTTCCAACTTTTTTTTTCTCACTTCTTATCGTCTTCATAGTGTATTGATGTCTTGATCACTCTAGGTTTGGGTTTTAAGTGTTAATTGTTTAAAGCAGTGTGTGATGAAGGTCTCCTTTTGCCAGTTCTGCTGCTGAGACATTCTTTTATGTTATGCTGAGACCTGGGAGAAAAACTATCTGACATTGCTGTTGCAATGAAGACACCTCTTTACGTAAGAACCGATGGGTAACATTTTAAATTTGATTTTGTAAATTCTTTCCAGCATGAATGGTGTTTTAGAATTCTATGACACTTCTGATGTGGTCTGCATGAACCAGGCAGAGCACTTTATGGCCACGGACGTGGAGTGGGACCCTACTGGTAGATTTGTTGCTACATCAGTCAGTTGGTGGGCACACAAGGTAAGCAGTACTCTACAGTGTCTCCTCAAATACCGTCGAACCTCCACTAGCAGCCATCTCTCTACGGCAGCCGCTGAGTATTTTTCCTCCAGACCATGCACCTATTCATACAGAACTCTTTTTCAAAACACCCTACAGTGGCTTTTTCTCAACAACAGGCCGTTCTTCTGTCCCAAAATGGCCACTGCATCGAGAGTTTCACTGTAGCACTTTACAAAAAAAAAACTGATCTTTTTTTAAGGTCAAATAGTTAGCATCAATGAGCTCCTCATGTTTTGTTTTTTCTTCTTCTCTGTAGGTAGATAATGGCTACTATATCTGGTCATTCCAAGGGAAACTTCTTCAACGTCACGCTTTAGATCAATTCTGTCAACTTCTGTGGAGGCCCAGACCCCCTTCTCTACTCTCAGACACCGATATCAAGGTAAGAATCAAGCTTGGCATAAATTCGTATTGAAGAAATAAAGACTATACACCCGCGTGAAGCTTACGTAGCAGTTGTAAACGAGCGGAAGGGGGGGGGAGGGGAGGGGTTAGAGAAGCGATTGACACCTTCCCTTCTCGTCGTACGTCTGTTACGCAGGTTCTTTGTACTCTGAGACATGTGAGCCGTACCCAGGGAGTTTCCAATGCATCTTTTTTGCCTCTGATAGTCAGTTTTAATCCTCTATCTACTTTATCATCTTTCAGAATATCAAGAAGGACATCAAGAAATTCCAGCGAATGTTTGAGATCAAGGATCGAATGAGTCAATCAAGAGCTTCGAAGGTAAGTTTAATAGCCGTTTCTAGCTTGGCCCTGTCTGCCTGTCTCTCTGTTTGTTTGTCTGTCTGTCTGTCTGTCTGTCTGTCTGTCTGTCTGTCTGTCTGTTAGAGTGTCTGTGTCTGTCTGTCTGTCTGTCTGTGTCCCGTCTGTTTGGGTGTTCTTTTTTTCTTTCTTTCTTTGTACTAGAGAGATTCTGAAAGTGCCGTAGATTTCGGCTTACCGCGATTTACGAATATATGAATACTATCTTAACTTTCGAGTGATTGTTACTTTCACAAACTCGTCATATCTTTCGTGTGATTTTGGTGTACCAGAGTAATTTTGTTAGTGCGCGGCATTTTAGTTGGTAAATGTCACCTTCGTTTATTTTTCTCTAGGAGCTGATTGAGAGGCGGCGGCGAAAGATGAAAGACTTTCAGGGCTATAGGCAAAAGAAGAACAACGAGTTTGCACAGCAGAAGGCACAGCGCTTGGAATTACGTAACGGTAAGAAAATATCCCATTCCCGTGATAGTTGTAAACATCGTATTTCTTATTGCAGTACCAATAGGTTGTCAAGCAGACAGTTGAAACCTCCATCTTGGCATCGCTGCATGACATCACAGTGTCGGTTGCAAACGGTGTATGTCTGGAGGAAGAGAAACGCAAGGTCGTCTTCGGGGCTGAGGCTGTGCCATGCTTTGGACCCCTCCTAAATCCTACGCTACAAGAGCTTCAGCCAGTCAGGTGGTCAGGCATTCAGTCGGTCAGTTAGTCAGTCGCTCAGTAGGGTAGTTGTCAGTTGGTCAGTACGTTGATCAGTCAGTCAGTCAGTCAGTCAGATGGTCAGTCAGTCAGTCGGTCGATTCTCACACTAGCATTAGATAAAACACATGGTTATCGTAAGAAGAACATCTATTTCAAGCTTGCCACTGACGGGGTAAGAGTACTTATTTTTGGAGCGGCAGGAGTGGACAGCAACAGGAAATTCTCCTAGTGGTTACTCTTAAGAACCGTATATTTTAGTTTTATGAGTGTTAGGCTTATTTCTTTTCGTTTTGTTTCTTTGCAGGTGTTGAAACAGATGAGCTTGATAGCAACGCAGAGGAGTTTGAAGACGAATCGGTGGAATTCTTTATTAAAGAAGAGATCACCGAAGTGGAGGAATAGTCCAAAGGAATTGTCCGTCATTTTCCCGCGAGCGAGAGAGCGCTACTTTGTCACGAGTGAAGAGTAAAGAACACAAAAAGAGTTAATTGATCCGAAATATTCCTGTCTCGGCCGGCGTCCGATAAAACGACTGCATTGAATTTTGACCGATACTTGCCATTATATTAGCAAGAGTTTTGATTATAATATTTTCTTTGTAGTGCGTAGTTTTCTCAAAAAATTGGCCGTCTCCAACTGCTGATTTTTTGGTCAGATAGACTTCGTTTTTCCAGCCTTAGTAGCAGCTGTAGGTTTTAATTTTAGAAATGACCACTAAAAGTTGTAGCTTCTTGCCGAAACGTGAGTTCCTCTTGAGGATCTTGCACTGTTCGATTGAATTTACAATTTTCAGACGAAATCGTAATTTGTTTTTCGCTTGTAGGAAATTAAAATGGAATATTATGCGTTCAAACTTGTTGTTGGTGTTGTTTTTGTTACCGGATGGTTGTTTCACAATGTTTATTCACATGTTTTCTTCTGAAGTTTGAAAGTCTGAAAAAGTCCTCTTTTTGTCATTTATTTACATGTAACAGGGTTGGCACAGGTCAGGGAATGGTCGGGGAAAAAATAAATTCTTTAAGGTCAGGGAAAAGTCAGGGAATTTTATTTTGAGTCAGGGAAAATTGACATTTTAAGGAAAAGTCAGGGAAAATTGATATTATTCAACACGGCTGATTTTAATACCGTTGAAGGCTAAAAGAAACATTTGGGGTCACCGTGATATCAACGATATTTTTACTTAATGAAAAAGGAAGATTTGTTGAAAACTTATCACTCTTAATGAGCGAGTAGAAAGGACGGCTTGGAGGTGAGGTCAGAAGCCGTTACTACATCTGACATTTTGTATTTATTTGGCGAGGGAAATATTAACTTTATCAGGGAAAAGTCAGAGTCATGTTTAAAGCTACCCCCATCCTGTCGAAAATGCTAAATTACTTCACGTATTTTTTTTTTTTAAACGAGAAAAACCCACCAACCTTTTCAAGTTTCTATTTATTTTTATAACCACCTTCTTTGGTAAGTTCTGTGGCAAAACTTCCTCCGTTCGCAGAAACGCGATTGCAACTGAAGGGACAATTTTCCGTTTTACGAGTACTGGAAATTTTCGTTTGTGACCGTTTGTGACGCAACAAAGGAGTTAAACTGCGCGTGCGTAAAATCTAGAACACAGGCCTATCTATTTATGGACATCTTCGCTGCGCTGGTCGAGTTATCATTGAAAAAAGGTCTGCTGTAGACCTTTTGCATAAATGGCGCCTAAATTTAACAATACTGATACATCCTAAGCCTCACATTCAAATGAAAAATCATGTATCTGGAAACATGAGTACGAGGCTGAGGATGTACAAAGTATTAATATTCAAATTAAGGCGCCATTTATGAAAAGAGTCTATAGAAAATACAAAGACCTTAGAAATGGTATTGTTCAACTTGAATCAGACTTTTCAGCCACTTCGTTCTCCCAGAAGATTAGGCAAGACGAGCGCGCACAGGATGTCAACCGTGTTAAAATAAACTAAGAGGCGAGCGTGGATGAAAAATGCTACCTCCCTAAACGTCGAGATAAATGAAACTGTTTGTCTAGAAAAAAAAGTCTAGGAATAGAGATAGTCGAGATGTTTCTTGATTCGCTTTCCTAGTTGCTCCTGCTTTTTTACTTCGCTTCTTTGTCAAGAATTTTGAAACGAATTCCGAGGCCCAGTCGTATCATACCCAGCTCGTTCCTATAGAGCTTTCGTTTCCCGTGCCAGGATCCTGCCGGCTAAGAGAACTGGAAAGATCTATGGGGACGAGAATGCGCGCACTGTTATGCTTGCCTTCTCTCCCACTTCTTCCACTAAAATTCTAATTGAGGCTCTATTCCATTAGACTTGAAATTATAGCGATGATAAAAACTGAAATTCGCAACAAAATTAAAACTTGTCTAGTTTCTTGCTGTAAAGAAAAAAAAAGTAAGAAAGAAAAGAAACCGGAAACTTCGATAAACAATAGATGACATAGATGCAGACCTGATGCGACCGCAGAACGCTGGTATGACGCACGACAACGCTTGAATTTTTTTTTTTTTTTTTTTTTGATAATTCGCATATTTTGGCCGATAACATTAATATCGGTCGTTCTAGGCAGTAAAATTCAAGTGAACAAAACAGTTCTAAGTTTGTTTTGCTGTTAATAAACTGCCTTTAGCTAGCTTTATTCTGTCTTTCAGGAGCCCGCTATTTAACTTTCCCGCGTTGTCGTACAGCGCTGGCGTGAATCGTTAGTGGATAAAACCCACGAGAAAAATTTCGAAAAAGAAATAGTTTCTTATCTTGAATACAAAAGTAATTTTTGTACTCATTATTTGATTCAGTATCTATACCTGAATCAGCAGGATACACAGAAACGGAAACGGCATTCTATTGACAAGCACTTTCCTGTCTCTCTTAAAGATATTATTTTTCTTTTGTCTTTTGACCGAAGGAGCCGCAGGTGACAAAGATAAATATAGAGTAGCAAGTTATTCAAATAAATAATTCATTTGTAAATCGATCTAATAACGATCGACGTTGCTATGAACACCATTGAACGAGATGTTTCCTTTATGGACATAGTCTGCGATGAATTTTCCGTGTTTTTGTCTCGGTAATTTCGGGTTTTGCTTTAGTAGTGGCGAGTTCGGATGGTCGAGAAAGTCCACGGTGCAAGGAAAAAGTTAAAAACCGGCTAGAACTGCAAAAGGATGACGGCGAATTCAAAAAGCGCCGAGGATTACGTCCGTAAAGTCAATAGGCTTTATGACATCTACTTGGAAAGGGAATTACACCACTTGGAAGATGAAAGGCGATTTTATCTCAAGAATTTTCGAAATGAGTTTAGAGTGGCTAAAGAAAAATGCGACAAAATAACAAGCAAAGCTAAGGAACTGCGAAAGCGAAGAGTCCTGAAAAGCCAAGAGTTGTCCAAGGAAAGAAAGAAAGACAATTTCTTCATTACGGCATCTGCGGAAAGCCTTGATAAAGATTCCTTGGAGACACCACCAGTTTTAAATAATTGATCAACTGATTACTACTAGACTAACTCAAGGACGTGCTCGAAACTGCAAGTAAGTGAATTGAAGCGAAGTTTTACGTGCTACTGGTAGCCAGTGGCAGGGAATAGTCGCCGATCGATAGTAAAAGACAAATTCCATTTTCCCCGAGTTCAGTCTTCCCGTCTTTATATATCGATAAAACTTGTTCAAGATCCGTGTTGTACGAGGAGAACAAGTTATTTCTTAAAATTCTACTATAAATTCATTAGTTTGAAAAAGTGTAAAGAAACTACTGAAAATATTTTCGAAATCCACCGCCTCGGGCGATGAGATAAAAAACGAAATAGTGTATTCATGATTCATAATTGAGGTCAGATTTTCTAATGGTGTCTTATTTCTCTAGTTCTCTTCATAGAGATACAATAATGTACGAGGACAGGTTTCAGGATTTACGGTATTAAACTACTGAAGAATGTAAAACGTCTATTTGTCCAGTTAAGACAGTGTAGGTCCTTTGTTTATTTACTCTGGTTGTTATTATTTGATCCGATATTGCAAAGAAAATAACCCCTGGGGGAGACTCCCATATAAGAAGAACGGGGGTGCTCGTCGGAGATTTTGAAAACAACCCCTAAGAGGTACCAAGATCCTGTTTTGTGGGCGTGGCTTGAAATGTTTTTCACCCCCTGAGATACCAGTTCTAAAACAACACTTTATCTCCTGTCATATTTGCTTGGCTCAATACCCTAAAAAGTACAGCAAAAGTTCCCACTGTGGACCTTTTGAGGCTGAACACCCAAGAGGTACCAAAACCGCTTATAGTTAGCCCCAGTTGTTCGAAAGCTGTATAAAGCCATCCACCGGGATAAATCGCTATCCTGTGTAGAAGTGTTGACAAAACAAACCACGGTGGATAGCGTTATTCAGCTTTCAAACAACCCAGCTAGGGCCTGTTTCTCGAAAGGCCTGGAAACTTTTCGGGACCGCAAAGCCATTTTCAGTTGATCTTTTTCTAAAAACAGAGAGATGTATACGCCTGAAATTTTTTGTATGAAGAGAACCTCTGTTCATATTAAAAAATATGTGAATAAAACAGCTCTGTAACCATAAGGTTTGAGATTTTGCTACGGCTTTCCGGGTGCGAAAACTTTTCGGGACCTTCGAGAAACGGGCGCCAGAGTTTAGTATGGCTAAACCTAAATGACGCCCCGGCGGGCAACAATTACGCAATTGGGAAAATTAAAACAACGGTGTAAACAACATATCTTTTTTTAATTCTATAGCTGGGTATAGAATTGGTCGAAAGTTCTAAGAAGAAAAATCTCACTCCTTGATATTTCATTTTCTAGTTGCAATTTCTATGTTATGGGGAAAATTTTAAAAGAAAAAAGTTTTTTCGCGAAAACATAGAGGAAGTTTTCCTTTTCCGAGGGTATAAGTAAGAAATATAATTCAGCAGAAACTCTTAGCCTCAGGTAAAAAGGAAATTTCACGTAATTGTTGTTGCATTTACGAGAAGTCTAGATCGCTTTTCAGTTTTATTTTTAAAAACGTCTTTTCCCCACTGACCAAACTCTAGACGTTCTAGAAGAAATGTACGTAGTTTGACATCGTTTTTACTGCTCCATGCTCCAACAATAGTGGTTTACTTTTACTCCATCCTCAGAGCCTCTGTAAAACCCTACTGCCCAAAAACGTCAAAAACCAGTGGTTATGGACTCCACCGGTCAACGTTCAAGGACTGCTGTGCTCTGCCTCTAGGCCGTACCAGCACATGCAAAGAGAAGGGAAAGGGTCATGCTGTGCTACTGGGTTCTCGAGAGACTCTCATCACTTCATTTCAGATGCTTGATGTGTCCCTTGCTGATGTATCTCTACCAGCTGATCTTTAATTGTTTTGGTTCTGCAGCGTAACAACTCAAAGTCCTGTAAAAAAGCAACAGAAACTCCTTGATATCCTAAATGACCAACCTCTAATTTCGCCTTAAAATACAAACAAATTGACAAGCAGACAGTCCTAGATGTGCCAAGAATAAAGAAAATTGTCAACCAGGGAGAAGTTGCCTTGTATCATCAAATCCTTAAATGTAGGACTAATAGCTTGAGGTTACCAAAAGGAAGGAAGGAGGGTGTTCTGATCTCCAGGCCTGGATTTTGAAACTCTGCCTTGAATGGCCAGTTTGTTAAGTTAATCACTTTGTTGCTACTCGTACTGTCAATTTAACCCCTGTAATACAGCCAGCCTATTAAACGAGCTATGTCACAGGTATTGAGAAGAACAAGAGATCACGTCTTTTATCCAGGTATCCAAAACACTTAAAATCACTTCAAAAATGAACGATAAATATGTGCAAACTGTAAACCGCAGTATTTTGAAATTTGGTTTGAACATTGTTTGAGCCAGAGAGTACATCTTGAAAAGTTTAGCTTACTTATTTTAAGTTTGTCATTTACAATCTACTTTAATCCTGGTACTTTTTGACTTCCATTACCTCTTTCCTGTTTTTCAACCTTAAGGAACTGTTACTTTTAGTAAATTTGTGGATTTCATTGTAATTTCGTCCAAAATGTGACATAGTTCCTGGCCATTCCAGTGCCAACATTAGTGTCTAGATTGACAAGTTTTCATGATTTGATAGATTCTTCCTAAAATATCTTCCAGAACTTTTGACTATTTAAATAACTACAAGTGTGTTGTCATCGTAGTTCAATACCTTTTCAGCTCCATAAGTAGAACCTTCATGTGGCTGACCAGTAGCGACTTGGGTCAGGTAACCAATCTGCTCACTTAAACCTTTCTCAACACCCTTAGAAAAAGGAACAGACAATTTAACAATACCTTGTGGAGGTTTAAGTTACAAACTGGCTAATATTTCAAAATAGGTCAAGTTCCAAAGTGTCTAGCTTACCTTAATGGCAGGTTTAAGCCATTTTGTAGTGGCCCAAAGGTTATACTCCAACAAAAAAGCTCACATATTACCTCCATATTACTTGACAGGTTGTGATGTAATTATGCAACTTTACAAAAAGGCGAGACTAGCGTTTTTTTGTGAGCGCAAGACATTTTGACTTTATAAAATTGCAAGACCAAGACTTCAAAGTGTTTTCAATCTGAGTGTGAGAAATTCAGACTCTAAGATGCTCAGTCAGATGCTAGTAATGAAACAAACAAATAAATTGGGAATGAGACTTAGTTGGTCTTTCAAAAAATTGAGACTCCGAGACAGCTTTGCAAGGTGCACATAACTGCTAAAAATAATGCAACTGTGAGACCTCGGAAATTTGACGAAAAGTTTGCAAGACCCATGGTTTTTGAAGGATCACTCGCCACCCCTTACTAGTCAGACCCATTGGGTAAGTCTTTATTTGTGACTTATTTTTGCATAATATTTTCCTTTGCCAGGGTACCCACAAAGAGACTATGAGTGTGGGAAAATGTGCTTGATCATACGTGATGAATAACTAAAAAGAAATTCTGGCTTTTTATGGAGGGAGGGGAGGGTGAGCTTCCTTACACCTCTCCCCACTGATTCTGACCACTGCATGTGTACCATTTAAAATGCAATTTAATACACTATAAATTATTTTTGACAACTTCTTATCCTAAAGCACACTAAGTTTATTAAAGTATTCTAAACTAAAATTTCTACCTCTAAAGACTTCAGAAACCTGGTGGCTGTTGAGTTGATACGGTCCTCTGAAGGGGCCTCTTTAGCCAGTTCTTCTAAAGTTTCTCCTGCACTTCGTATAACCTTCACTATATCCTACAAGTTGATAATTAACAATATTGTTTCAGCTTAAAGGTGTATATCATCAGGAGCTAGTGTGACATCAAGTCCCTTAAATTTGAATGTTATATCAAGGTGGCTTACTACAGTTTTTCTGAGACTCAGTAGCATGCACTATGATTGCTTGCCAGATATCGGCATTAGTTGCGCATGCAAAAATGACGCAAGTAACCCTAGGAAGAAGTGGGTTAAACCACTTTGGCATAGTCATAACAACAACAACAATAACAACAATAACAACAACAATAACTTTATTTACTTGTACATGCTTTTTTGCTTTCTTGTACGAGATACATGGGGTAACTCGAAAACACTGACCCCTGGTCCGTGGACCCCCACAACGGACTGGGTCCGCAGACTACCCTACGGACCGGTCCATGGACTACCCCTATGGACCCCCTCTACGGACCACCCTAAAATAGTCTAAAAATAATAAATAAAGATTTCAATTATGGGGTGTCTAATAGATTCAGACTCATGTTGGTGATTTTTCGAGTGTTACACTGTGCAAATGTAACAGACTTGGGTTTTTAACACTGCGGACTGGGTGTCAGTGTTTTCGGGTTACCCAGATACATGGCACCACATGAGAGCATGCTTAAATAAAAGGCATGTGCAGTTCAATTTTCGTTCAAGGTTGTAAAGGCTAGTCTGTGATTCAAGATTTCTCGAAAACCTACCATACAACCAGATAAATTTTCACCGTTGATTTGTAGGAGTGACTTGTGTCCACAGCCAAAATTTTAAAAAAATATGTACAACAGATTTTGAGCAGTTTTGAAATAGGCAAAACTTCACATTTTCTTGCTTGCAAAATATCTGTCCAACAGATTTTTATTTTACTTTGCACAAATGTCTAATAGGAGCCAATTTCTAATTCCTGAAATTTTTAGATGGGGTCATACGGGTAGATTTTGAGAAAAAACGTCCCTAAACCTACTAGTGCCCAATCTCTTCTGGACACTCAGTCGTTCATTTTTGGCTATTTGTCGACATTAAATTGATCAAGTATCACATATAATGGTAAAGGACTTAAGAAAACAGTAATTACAGAAAGGAAAAACATAAATGCTTAGGAATATTTTTCAAAAGAGTTAAAAGAGTAAGACAAGATAAAGTACAGTAGGACGAAGAATGGACAGACCTTTTCGATCTCTTCCAACTGCTTGAGACGATCACCTGATTGGGACATAGTTCAGGAAGTCGCAATCTACTGGGATGTGAAAATTCTGGAGTGTAATGAAGAAAGAACATGAAGAGCCAAGAAAGATCAGAAGGAATAAAAAGATCAAAGGTTTGCATCTCACGTCATGTAACTACACACCAATTTTCAGCTGGCCAATCGCGGCCTCATCACGTGACGTGGACGTCGTAAATCAAACATGTCTGCCCAGTGTCTACGTTCATTTTCGAGAGAGTCAGTGAGGGGTTTGTTCTGCCTTTTTGTTGACATTTTACGTTAAGGCAGCAAGCTGGACGGCGAAATGTTTCAACGTCAGAAGAATTGGATTTCTGACGTGTTGTGGAAACCGAAAAAGGCTCATTCTCTGGAGCAGTTAAGGTGAGCTTAAACCTGTAATGTTTTCGAATTGAGCTGATCGACTTGTGTTTGCATACAATTTGACTAAATACATGACCAGTGAAGTGTTTAAACTTATATTTATTAGTAATTTATAGTTCTTATCTGTTCAGATAAGCGTTACACTTCTCTATTTCCCAGTCTTATGTCAAGTTGTAGCATTGTATATTCTATAAACGTACTTGTCATTTGATTTGTTTTCATATGATTTGTTTTCATTTAGGTATCTCCATTATGTGCTTACTAAGAATTCAACCGTGAATGAGACCAACAGAGGTTTACTTGTTGAAACTCTGCGTTCCATTGCGGAGATTCTCATCTGGGGAGATCAGAATGACAGCAGAGTGTTTGAGTAAGATTTTACTGACATTTACACTGATTTACATTGTTCTTATGTACAGTTAATGTACATAATTATGGCAATAACCTTATTTATAATAATAATAATAATAATAATAATAATAATAATATAATAATAATAATAATAATAATAATAATAATAATAATAATAATGTTATCATAGTGACTGATTGTGAAATGGTAAGCGGTTATTTTGCCTACAACTTGTTTTGCCAACAGTCAGTTCACTAGTGTCTCACACTGATATGATGAAAGTTGGATAAAACAATTTACAGAAGTCAATGGTAAAGTCACCAGATTCTAACTTTGGTATTACTAAACTATAGGGTGAAAACACTGACTACAGGTATTTCAGAGGTAAAGAGTAACTGCTTTTCCGTCTGATCTACCTACGTTAGCAAAGTTGCTGTTAGTGAAACAACTCATAGGTGAAACAACAGTGTAATCTTGTGAAATAGATTGCACAGCAGACGAGAGATGAGAATGCAGGTTGCAATGCTGAAACATTCTCTCCAGGGGGTTTCATTTGTTGGTCCTTAAAAATATTGGTTACACAGTTTACATTCTGTTAAAACATGTATAATGGCACCTCATGAACTCATGTATTTACAGTTGAGTATATACAATGTTGTGGTTTAAAGTTGTTTTGGTTTGAAATTTTGTAAAGCATTCTCGTGATTTCACTTTTTCCTTTATTTTCTGATTGTGATAATGAATGTACATGTGCACAAAACTGAAAGAAATAAACATTACAGTGGCTTGAAAATGGTCCAACCAAAAACCAATTTTATACCACAACATACATAATGTGCTTAAACCTATATGTATGATGTACATTTATATAAAGTTGTTTAACCTTGTGGCATGCATTCAATTATGCCTACATTCTCAAAGCTACAGCGACAATCTCTTTTTCTTGAAAATTGACTAGGAATTTTATGTAATTTACTATCAGGCATTTTAATAAAGGAAGTAAAGGGAATCTTTTGTAGTCCCAGAATAAATTATCTACAGGGACCTGGCAAACAGTGGATATTGTAGAGATGCCAACCAAAAAAAATGGAAATCAAGGAGATTGCCAATTTTGTCTTCTTAACCCCCCAAAAAAATGTTGGAAAAAGAAAGGCTTTGCTGATTCAACCCCATAATGAGTCAAATATACATGTACCAAAATTGCACCCCTGAAAATGCCAAAAGTCAGCCACAGTAAGTATGAAGTATGTATTTAAGTGTTTTCCTTTTGTATCTGGGAGATTTTGGTGATCCAAACGAGAGCCCAGGAGATTCACAGTCTGTATTTAGAAGACTCCCAGATAATCCAGGAGAGTATATAGATGGTATCCCTATATTTCCATAACAATACTAAAACAAGATGATGGTAGTCACTTGTGGGAATTTGTATTTTAGAGTCAGAACTAAAATGGTCAACACCAAGGAAATATTTATCTCTGTTGAATCAAATAGTTTCTACAAACAGTTGTGGCTGATTTCAGTTTTATATCATAAAATTTCATTGTACAATGTACTTGTGAGGTGTTATATGAATAATTCAAAAAATAGAGGGTTTTTTTGAAATATTAATTAAAAACTGGTGGCAGTATATTTAGCATAATATTACACAGTGCATATTAGTTGCCATGTGGCTATAGCAGTTGGCTTGTTAGTTAAAAAAAATAGGTTACTGAAACATTTGAAAACTATTCTGCTTTCTTTGCTAATAATTGTTATTTGTGAGTAATGTTACATTGTATATCCTATGTACATTGTCCATGTAATTTGATAATTTTCCATTAGTGCAATCTATCAGTGGCACATATGTAAAATTTGAATGTAGAAGATTGAATATAATTTTGTGGCTGGGTGAAAAATATGGGCCAAGTAACACCACATGTAGAATTGTATGTGCTTTGTGGTCACTTTGTAGCCTCTGACAGGTGTAGAGGAGGATTATGGGTTCAATTATTGTTGGGAGAACTCAAGATTATTTTTCCAAATTATTTTAAGTCACTGATTGGCTAATATCTTTCTCGCATTTCTACCAAACATTACATTCACCATAGTTTCATTTTTTTACCTTTATTATTTATTTACTTGGTTATTACAAGGGGTGCATACTATTTAGTATAAATATATTTTACATTAAAATACCTACAAACGAGGCAGGAAAGATTAATTGATTCAAGTACTTTAAACAGGACAAAACAATATTAATATTTTTTACTTAATATTCAGTCATCAACATATTTTTCTTTGTTGTTTAGTTTCTTTCTGGAGAAGAGCATGTTGATGTATTTTTTAAAGATGATGAGTCAGAAGTCCAATCAGATTTGTGTTCAGCTGCTGCAGACTCTCAGCATTCTGTTTGAAAACATCAGGAATGAGACATCATTATGTGAGTGTGTAGTACCATAAAGATTTGACTTATTGCCTGGGAGATACAGTAATGCTCAAAGGAAAGTTACCACCCTCTTGTGAGATGAGACTCTTGTATCGTGACGCAAGATTTTTGTCTCAAGAGAACTGAGATAAGAGGTAGTAACTTACTTTTGAGTGGTACTATAATTTACTTTTGGTAGCTCAAGGGAGGGTGCTTCTTGGATAGGGGTCCTTTTTATGGATGGGTTGCTTACGTGTACCTCTTTTTTAACATATGTATCTGAATGTGATACAAAGCAACATATGCTTAAACTTAAGAACTGTTACAAAGGGGATCTGATAGTCATAATGTTCAATAATATGTTCAGATGAGAAAGCAGACTTTGTAATTCATTTATCTACTATTATATGCTGCTTTCTTGAATCTCAATTTCACTTTGGGGGAGGGGGACTTATTGAAAGGGGGCACTTACTGGAATAGGGGCACTACATAAAAAAAGCAACACTCAAGGGGGAGCACTTAATGGAGGAGAGCACTTATTGGAAGGAAGGTCCTATATTGAATCATTACGGTATGCAGCATCTAATTTGGTTCAATTCCTGTTTGGAGAACTCAAAAGAAGAGAGAATTTTACTATGCAACCCTGTACACATATTACTGAAACAAAATAAAAATGTTAAAATTCTCTCAAAAGGTGCAACAAGAACATTATTTTACCTTGTTTATTACTCAAGGTGGTTCTTTTATACTGTGAGAACTTTATTTGCTGGCTAATTACAGTACATGTGTCCCAGTCTGTACAATCCACCCAGTTCAAGGCTGTTGCCTAAGGAAATTTCTAAGGAGCCCTTCGGGCTTCTTCCACCAAAAGTTAGGAGCCCAAGCCACTTTTTTAGGAGCCCAAATAAANATTACTATAAATGAAAATAGTTGAACGAAGAAATTAACACTGATCAGGTAATAATAAACTAATATGTACTTGTCTCTGAAACAATGGAACACATTTTTTAACGACTCAGGAAAAACGGCACTTCATCTAAGGTAACAGCCTCTTTGTAAAGTTGTCTTCAAATTTAAGCATTGTCTTCTTTGGTCAGAAAATATTTTGGTTCATAATATCCTTTAAAAATGTGGCTTTTGGGAGCCCTATCCCTCCCCTGGGTGGGTATGGATATTTTCTTTAACAGCACAGTTCTGGTAAATTGGTTTGCAAAAAGGAGTAACTACGCATATAAAATTCAGTATCAGACCTGGATAGAAGGGAGACATGTACATGTACAGTATATTTAGATCTCAACGTCAGTTGCTTTGATTATGTCATGCTTGCATGAGCAGGATACCGTCCTCGGCTGATTTGAACAAGATTAAAGGCTTCCAATAAATTACCTGATTTTGGAAAATTTTGCTCTGTTACTCTGTCTTCATAAAATTTTGTACATCTATATATCCTTGCTTCTCACTTGGAAAGTATATCCAATACAAGGTTGCAGCATTTGTTAAGTCACATTTTTGCCTCACATCAGACAACAACAGGAAACAGGTTGATGATAGAGAGCTTGCTTCTGCCAAGCAACGAACTAGTGGTGAAAAGAGAAGTACCCCTAAAAAAGATGGTAGGTATAGAGACACGTGGATTGGGGGATTAATTTATGAAGAAGTAGAAACGTTGTTCGTAGTAAATTCTCTCAGCTTAAAGCTTGCTAATAAACAACCAATTATTGGTTGTTTAGTGGCAAACTTTGAACGGAGAGAATTACAACGCCTAGAACAACGCAATAAAAGGCTTTGTGAATAGTCATGCAACTGGTCAGGTTCCTACTAGTTTGGGAGAGAATTACAGTAGAACCATTTTACCACATTTTAGTTAAATCTGATTGTGTCATAGCTCAGTGACTACATTAATGAAAGAGCACTGAAATAGCAACATTTGCTCATTAGAACTTGTTCTAACAAATTAATTCACGCTAGCCTTTATTCGCGTGGTTTTGTCATTGTGAAGTTCTTTGGGCTCTGTTTAAATAAAGGATATGTCTGTCTGACTGTCTGTCTGTCTGTCTGTATGTATGTATGTGATGGTTGTTGGTAGTATTGTCGTTGTTGGTACTGTGGTTGTTGTGGTAGCCGTGTGTGTGGTGAGCACTGTGTTACTGATAGCTGTTGNTTTGTTCAGTCAAACATTTTATGGCTTACTATTTAGCTATCTCACCATGACCGATGTAGCATCGCATGTACATCATAAATTCCCAGTTTCTTTCTTGCTGTACATCGCAACCGAAAACACTTGTCAAATTAACCAAATCATTACTGTAAACAGCTCCGTGAATGCTCCTATCTCCGACACTTAACAAAAAAAATAACTCTTGCACGCCTTGCGTGCCTATGTTTCCAATATGGCCCTCGTGCTTGGTTAATACGATATACGTATTGATAATGGTACGAATGGAAGTGCAATGTAAGGATTTACACTACTAGTTGTATTTGAAATTCTCTCAAAATATTATGCGAAGGTTTACGCGAGTGTAGTTTTAAAGAATTTTAAAATACGAGTTCTGTAAATCCTTCATTTCTCGGCCTTTTATGCCACTCCTCATTTATTGCTTGAATGAGTAGATTGAGAACATGCACACATTAATTTGCAGTTAAGGGCAAATTAAAGATTAGTGCCGATAAATTTTCTCGTTTCCCAGCTTGCTCTCGGCCAATCACAATAAAGAATGGTTAACCTGTAATATGTAGAGATTTCTTAACAGATTTAGAGTTGACTACTTCACAATGGTCATTACACGTATCGTTACAAATTAATGAAGACTCATTGCTAACAACACTCCTCACTGTTTGTTCCTGTTTCAGTTGACTTAAGTCCTGTCCAGGTTCCTCTCATTCAGACTCCGCTGGGACAGAATGATAGCGAGTCAGATACAGACTCGTCGTCTGGTTTTTCCACCCCTGTCGCCTCTTCCGGTGAGATTACCAAGGAAGAAACAACAACGGAAAAACGTTCAACAAACAGTGAGTTACACTGCAATGATATTTGCAGGGATATTTATTGATCTTGAGCAATTCGTATGAGATATTTTACTGTATTTTACTTTATTAATATTATATGAGGTCAATACTGGCGTTATGATTGGTTCTTTCTTGGTCGGGATGTTTCCATACTGACCATTTCCATGGACACGACCTTACACCGTGTATTTTTTCCTTTTGCAACCTGGAAAATTTGAGGTCCAAGTGCCACATAATAAACTAACCTAACTAGCTCGAGCTCTACTGGGGAATATTGGCCCTCAGTTGCTTTTGTAAGGACCGAACGAAGCGAGGTCCGTACAAAAACGACCTCGGACCAATATTTGCCAGCACAGCCCTCGCGCTTGGTTAGTTAAAAGTTAATATTTTATCATCCAAAGCCACCCAGGAAGCAGAGCCTTTTTTACTAAACTTTCATTTATAAAAGAGGCTGTACTCATAGGATGCATCCAAAGCATAAGCAAACAAACAAACAAACAAACAGTAATTTACATTGAATATACTTGTATATTTGTAACTTCCAATTTCCATGTACTGGAATTCTTTTCGATGATGAGCAATTTATGTATATTTTCCTTTAGTTGACCTTAGGAAAAAGAAAAAAAGAAATACCGTAGGACTTTTAATATTGAGTTTATTCTTTACATCAAGGGGCATAACAAGGGGTAGGAATTACTGAAATAGTATGACAAAATATAAACGATATAAAATGCTCATAATGTTGCAATGTCTTTCTTTCCTTTTTGTAGTTCAAAATACAGTGGCTGAAAAAGATCCGGCAGAAGAGATCAAGGTATTTCTTTGTTTGAACTCGTTTTGAAAGTGATCTTTACAGCCAGGGAAGCTAAGCTAAACAGCTGAATAAAAGCTAAAAGACCAGCCATCTATGGACCATTCGAGCTCTTGTGGCTTAAATTCAAAACTTGGGTTTAGCGAAACACTGACTGTTTTCTTTTCATTTCAGAGCGTAATTCAAAGACCCAAAGAATTTCAGCGTGACAGGTAAACACTTCCCCCCTCTCCCCTCCCTTACAGTTTAATTCTTCTCCTTGTACGTATGGCTGAATTTATGAAAACGGTGCTAATGAAAAGTTCGTTCTTTTGCACGAAGTGAGCTACACTCCTTAATTTTATGACTCCTAGAAGCTAGAAAATCACTCGAAGTGATAATCAAAATGCTCTATGAAGCCAGAAAATCACTCCAAGTGATAATCAAAATGCTGCATGAGCAAAACTCGTGAATACAAAAGGTGAATGAAGTCCGGAGCTCCTGTCTATCGGCTACTGATCATGTATATAATTTTGTCTTTGATTTTTATGCTGTTTTGATTATGAGTTACGTAGTAGTTCCCAAAGTAACCAAGAGCACGAAAAAGGAAGATAAGAGCGTGGAGGAAAAAGCAAGATTGACCTTTTTTGAATTTTTGTATCACCTACTTATTTTTGGGGAGAAAAGGACGTTTAGACCGAGTGACGAAGAAAATGATTACAAGTGATTGATACCGTTTTCATAAATTCAGACATACATTTTTTAAGTCTTTCATTTCTTATAGTACTAGATAGGTTTTCAATTGAGTGTTGAAAGTCATCAGGCAATTACTTTTGTTTTGGTTTTACTACGGTTTGAGATTGGCTGGTAGTGTAATTGGTAAGTAATTGGTTTGGTTTGGTTTCACGACACTCTAAAGCCACTCTGTTGTATGCTGCTCCTTAGTACTTTGTGAGACTTTATTGCAGCCCTTGTAATTGTTGTTAAGAAAAGTACTTATCATTGTTTCTGTTTTTGTATTTCCTACATCTAGTATGTTTCTTGAAGCCATACAAGAGAGTCTAGATTGTAGCAATAATGACGAGGAGGCGCTGTTTGCGATTTGCTTATTGTGTGCTGCTATCTGTAACGATGGTAAGAAGATACTTTTAGTTAATTAGGCTCCGTCCACACTACTCCGGAGAAATTTGAAAATGCAGCTTACAGTTAGGCCTACCGTCCACAATAATCCGTCACGAAAATGGAGCTTTCCGAAAACTCTCTTCAAACCCGCAGGAATTTGAAAACGCCGGCTTTGCGATTTTATAGCGTGGACGAAAAACATTTTGAAAACGGAGCTTTTCCAAAACAATGACATCACGAGAATCATGTGATTTCGTTGACCGAGTTT